CGTTGTTACAGCAGCAAGATACAAATGAACTGTGTACCAAGCTACATTTTTAATCATCGAATACATTGTTTGCTTCTGCTTGCAAGTTGTTTTATATTTCACACAGAAACTGACTCTTCTTTTTGGGTCAGTCTGCTGATAATCTTTAAAAATAAACCTACTAAGAACAAAGTATTATTTATTGTCTGGTTTTTGCTATCTGCTTTAGAAGCAGCTCTCCATAGCAACTTTAAAAGCCAATGCATTAATGCACAGTGACAGATGGGCTGAGCTTTTCCTTGCTCCCTGATAAGAGCACAGTGTGCATCAGGAGCCCCAGCCAGCACCGCAGGTGACATGTGGCAGTACAGCAACCTCTCTGCTGCCCTGCTCCTTCCCTTCATGCCTGCATGACACACAACACACCAAACGACCTGGCGCTTTTAACTGCCCCTGCGCATTCTGGCAAGGTTAGAATCAACAGAAGAAATTGTTCCAGAAGTAAAATCCAGAAGGAAAGCATAGGGTGAGGTCAACATTTGGAAAAGCTTTTGTTGAAATAATTCCATCAACTTTTATCTGAGCAAAACAAGATTTTTCAAAATAAACCTTTTCATGCTCATCAGGGTATGCCTGCATTAGGCCTGTAGCTCCAAACAAACCCATGGGCTGACAACCAGCTCTGCCACACCAGTGCAGAGCAGATTTCGCTGCTCTGTCTTTTATTTCTGTTTAGTCTCAAGTGAATCCTTCACATGCCTTTTCAAGTTGATTTACGAGCACCACTATAATGCTGAGCTCTCCTTTCTTATCACTTGCTGCTCCTAAAATTAGTGACTGATTTTTAAGTCCTGGATAGCTCAGGTGCAGGATACTTAGGAAACACCCTGCAAGAGCTTATTTCAGTATGCTCCTTCAAAGCCAGGAACAAATCCAACGTTTGTTCTCTTGAGCTCTAAATTATTGTACTTTGCCCTTTTTTATTGGTTTGAGACCTAAAACTTCATTCTGTATGCTCAGAGTGAAACAGAAATTTTGCTATGAGAGAGATGCTCGACAGCAGGGCCAGGCAGGTGTGTGATACCTGCAGAGTACTAGAAGCAGAATCCTCCTTTTCACTTCCTTGTGGAGTTGTTCTGCTGACTTTTTGCACTGCAGCTGTGGGGGGGATGGCTCAAATATCAGAGCCACAAGGGACTAATTAACCCCACATAAGGTAGCCAGAACTTTCCCACTGGAAGTTTTCTCTAATTTTTTTTTTTTTAACCTTATGAAATGGCTATTCCACTACATTAAAAAGAAAATTTTTTCAATAGTGTAACTTCAGGAACCATTTCAATGCTTTTTCCCCTCTGGGAGAATTTAAGGGACTGGCATGAATGACAAACTTATCTTGGGCAAGTAAGGAAAGCTGCACAACAAGTGCAGCCTCCTGCCTTGCCCTGTAAGGCTCATGAACACCACATCGTGCAACACCAGTGAGTGCCCCGACCTACACACGGCCACTTGGGTGAAGCTGGAAAAGGAATGCACTCCTGCCCACACCAGGAAAGTCCTCTCATTTCATAAACTTTGAAACTGGTTTTAATTCATGGGCCAGAGAGCTGAGTCACAGACCTTCTGGTCACTTGGAAGAACCCAGAGGATAAAAGGGCAAAATATAAATGAGCAGAAAAGAGAGTAACTGCAGCCAAGTTTAATAGTGAATTAGCTAACTGAAGGAATGGAAAGTTTTGGAGGTGACAACTCTCACACTACTGAAAACAGCACCTGAGCTGGCAAGCATGGCACTCCTGAACCTCACAGCCCAAAGGCCGAGTGTGAAAAATTCTGCTGAACAACTGAACTGTTTCTCAAGACTTTTGCAAGAGCTTCATGCACCAAGGAGCTGCACAACAAATCCTGTTAGCTAATGGCCCTAGATAGCCGAAATCCAACCCTTGAGGATTTGTGAATGAAGAATCTTGCATAAACACGATATCTTTTTGGCTCCTACAGAGCAGGTAGAATTACCAGGTCTTCCAGCAAGACCTTCCAAAGAACCACGGAGAACAAGGACAGGTGAAAGATGATTTCCTACAGTGGGATACCTTACTTGGTGAAGAAGGGATCAGTTACCTTCTTCTCATATCAGTTGCAGAGTGAATTAACTCAACATGAATGGCAACCAATCTGGTTGCATATCCCTCCAAATCTGGATTCTGATTGAAAGTTGAGTTCCCAGATGATTTCTTGGTTTTAAACCAAAACAACAGTTTGCATTCTGGTTTTCATGGTACACAGACTGCTTTAACAACATCAGTTATCAGCTGCTGTACTAACAACACTGATTTTCTCCTATTATTATATCATACTTGCTTTACTTGATCTTTCCTTCAGGACATTGTTCCAATCACAGGTTATTCTGACAACCACCTCCTACCTTTGTTGTTTAAATAGCTCAACATCCTGATGGAATTTTGGGGCATCAGGATTCTTCCTATAGTGGAGTATCAGACTTTGGCTACAAACCTCACTTCTTATTTCCTCACTCTTTACCTTACTTTACCTTAAAGGAAGTAAGTTGCACTTCAATTACAGTGAAGTAGAATGAACATGAGATGGAAGCTCGGCCAAAGAGGCACTTCACAGCTTGTGGAAGAGTATGGGAAGAGGATGCCTGCACCCGCAGAGAATACAGAGCCATTAGTCAGGCAGTGTAACATGCCCACAGCTGTTCTACTTTGGAATACAGCAGCTTGCATCTTGGTAATGAAATTTAAGGAACCAGTGCCTGGTGTGTTCACTTGAAACCTTTCATATTAGGACAAGGGGATGATGATGCATGAGCATTTCACAGACTGCAAGATGTTGACAGTCTCTTGTTATATCTTGTCACTGACACACTGCAAGGGGACAGCCACAGACACTCTTGAGATACAAGCCACCCATGACCTCTGGAGAGAGAAATGTTATTGTCAGAAGGATGCCCAGTCTTGGAGATGTGGGGAGGTGCCCATGCCCACAAAGAGCCAGCGCTCACCCAAGTCAAGCTGCAGTGCTGTTCAGCAAATCCAGACCCCAAAGGTGGCACACAACTGCTTCAGAGAGCAGTGAAGGTCACGCAGAGGAAAGTGATGGTGTGACACCCACCCAAAGGAGGGGGTGCAGAGCCCAGAAGCTCCTCCTGACATCCCCCAGCTGACTGTGTGTGCTTTCACCCAGTGGTCATTGTGCCCAGTCCTGTGACACGCAGCTGAATCAGAGAGCACCTTTCCAGAAAGGGCCTGTCTCCACTGAAAGGGGACAATGACAGAGATTATTGCCAGCACAGCTCCAGGCTGCAGCTGTTAAAGACCTGCCGGTGCCTTTCTGGGGAGATGCAAGGCAAGATTACCCACCAGACAGCATACCTGAAAACATACACTGAACAGTGCCAGCAGTACCACAGCTCAGCCTTTAACCATAACCTTGGATTTGAAATACAAACCTCTCCTCACTCCTCCCTCCCTGCACCATGATTAAGCTTTCAAGCAGTGCTGCAGCAATGCAGGATGCTAAGCCAAGTTTTGGCAGCACACAGCATTCTCAGCAGCAAATGCAGAGAATTACAGGTATGGAAATGTATCAAATTAAAATAACTATGAGTAATGCTTATTCAGAAGAAAAATAAATACACCATACTGTGGGGGAAAATGTTTAAATAGCTGAATTGAATCTTCAGCAAAATTATTTGCTTTGACATGGGTATGTGTTTTAGGCTAGCTAAATAATTTAAGTACTTTCCTTACATTACTTCTCCTTGAAATAAGAGTTTCATGTTTATTATTCATTACTCAGGTGGGGACCTCTGCTTGCTATAAAAGTAAGTGGAACAAGCAGCTGCAGTAAGGTGAGATCTGGGCCCCAAACATGGCTCATGAGCTTTATACTAAAAGCATTTCCCACCCAAGGAACAGGATACAACCTACAACCACTCACGTGGCAGAAGTAAAACACGGTTTCTTCCTCAAACAAGAGTAAACTATTAAAATAAAGTAACCCAAGCTGAAATTCATTCTGTCTATCAACACAGGTACCAGCAAGCTCCTTCTGACCCCACTCAGCACAGCCCTGCCCAGGGAAGGCATTTCCCCTATCATTCCAATGCACACTGTGATGGGAACTGCTGTAATTAAAAGCAGCAAAATTTAACACACGTCCCCTCCCTGTGAGCAGTTCCATTAAGTCAACAGCATTACTATCCCCAGGAAGAGTTATGTGATCTGCTCTCTGCCCACCTGCATGAACTACTTCATTTCCCTGTTGCTGAGCCCCACACCTGATCCTGGCCTGTGCCTGACACGTAAAGGTGTTTGGCATCTGATGCATCTCCATGGCTGGAGTGGAGAGCAGAAAGGGCAGGCTGCACTCCAGCCCCAGCCCCATTGGAATCACAAATGGAGCAGGTGATACTTTTGTCTCAGTGCAGCTGATTTAATAAACCTGTCCCAACACCTTATGAAGTGTCGGGTTTAAAACCATTCCTGGAGCTCAGATTTCACCAGCAGAATGCTCAGCATAGTTTTGAGCTGTTTTCTGTGCCTGTCCCACACTGCCAAGACATTTTGTTCAGAGGTCAGAAATGTGGGCATGCTACCACAAAAGTCAGGAAATCATTTACAGAATGCATAAAAATTGCTTTGCAGTGCAGTGACTCAGAGCTGAGAGGACATGACATAATCTCTTTGCTCTATAAACAAATGCAGTTAATGTATAGCCTTTAATACACAATAATCAAACGCAGTCTTGTTTCAAATGAGAAAAGATCCAATCCAGTTTCATTTCTCTGCTGATGACAGTGGAATTCAGCAGAACACAGCAAGTATTTCAGAAAGAATGTATAGTCCCATCATTCATTACTGCATGACAACTACCTCCACCTACCACATTCCTCTTTCCAGGACTAGTGAGATGTTTTGCACACTTGCAGTGGAGGTATTTTGAAGGAGAGCTTTGTTACCCTTTTTTTATTTTTTCCTAAACCCCAGGTCAGTGCTTACCAGCCAGGGCCTTGATGCGGGAGCGCTCAAAGAGCCGAGCAGAACTGTTCTCATTGTCCCAGTCGTCGACATCCCAGCGGTTGTTGACGTCGCTGTACTGCTGTTGGATTTCAATGTTGTCGTAATCTGTCGCTACCGTCGTCGTCATCCTGAGTCTTCTCCTTAGCCTCTCCTCACCATCAGATTCTTCCTAAAACCCTCTGTCAAAGAAAAACACAGAAAAATGAGCAATTAGATGGTGCACATATACTGGAAGAAAATGGTAAGGGTCAAGCTCAGGAGTTTTGGTTTCAAAAATCAGTGACTTTTACTTAAAAACAAGCTCAAGAACAGGAGATACCAACCACTCCTTCCGAGAACAAATATTCTCAAAAAATTAAATGCTTTACCAAAGCACAGAAGCTTTGCTGCATACACACATCCAGGATTGTCACATTCGGCTCCACAAAGCAGAACATGGATGGAATAGTGCAGCAAAACACTTCCACAACTGTCATTTTTAAAAGCAGACCATTGGCTTTAGAGATCTGCAAGTGTTGGTTAAAGCATATGGAGCTGTGGATAACTCAGCTGAGAAAAACCTCAAGCACAAAGATGACCTCCATACCTTTACAAAATGGTGCAAATAATTGATGGGGGGAAAAATACAGATTCTAAAAAAGCCACAGAAGCATTTGACAAGCAAAAACCTTTTAACATGTGTCTGAAGAAATATTTCTGTCTCCATATGCAAATACTGGCTTTGTGACTGGTCCTGGCAATTTATTTATGAACTAATCCAGATAAAACCAACTAAATGATGCATTACTTTGAACTCTCCACAGGAACAACATGGCACCCACCAACGCAACCCTTGGGGTGAGGTTCTCCTCTTTCAGGATGCTGTTTGCATATTTATTCTGTTTTCTGATTAGGATTTCCATGTATTTATCGGTACTAGATGTAAGAGAGGCAGACAGCTCTGGAGGAGGAGGGAGGTTATACACAGCTGTGGGAACAGTGCTGAGAATCCCCTTCACCCTTCAGCGCTCAGCGAGACCCTGAGGAGCACAGGGCGCTCCTCATACACACAGAAACACACACTTCACCTTTGCAAAACGCAATAATTCCCAGAAATGCAGTTAAATACAGGGGCAAGGGGGAGCCAGGGGGCCTGGGCGGGGACGCGCGCTCCCCTCACAACGCCCCGCCCGGGGCTTCTCTTGTCTTTTCTCTCTTTAATCTCACTTTCATATTTTAAAATAAAATTTAAAGAAAAAGGGGGGTGGAAAAGAAATTTGAAAAAAAATAAATTAGCCACACAGCCGCCCTCGCCAGCAGCCCGGAGCGCGGGCGGGGCCGGGGCCGCCCCTCAGGGTGAGGCCGAGCCCGCCCTCACGGCGGGGCCGGGGCTGCCCCTCACGGCCCTCCCCGCCCGCCGCGCTGGCGCCACCTGCCGGCCCGGCCCCTCCCGGCACCCGCATGTCGCGACATCAATCCGCCCCGCCCGCGACAGACGGCCTGGATGCCCTGGCTCACCAGCAGCGTTCATTCCCCGTCCGGGCCCGGATACCGGAGCCGGCTGGTTGGCCCTCGTCCCCAGGCCAGGGCAGGTCTGTCCCGGGGTTCCGCGCGGACAAGTGGCGGTGTGTGGCGCAGAAACGGGAACGAGCCGCGCTGGGGCGGCTGTTACATAAGGAGCTGTTACCGAAGGCTGAGCGCGAGTGCTCAACCTTCCCGAAAGGTGGGAAGGAATCGCTTCAGTCATGGGAAGCTGCCAAGAGAGCGAGGGAACGCGAGGAGAACTGCCTCTGGGGAAGGTCGTGGGGACGGTGCTCCCGCGGCGCATCCCGCAGGAGCCGGGCATGGATCAGCCGCTCCGGCCGGATCCTGCCGCTAGGAACAAACAAAAGCATGGAGCAAAGACGGGGGGAAGGACTAAATCCCACTCGCCAGATGATCCTCACTGAGCATCAGGCCTAGACAAAAACCGCCCATTGATCCCTGTACACAGGCTGCAATCAGGGTTAATTCCAATTAAATCCATGGAGCAGCCAGCATATAAACAACGAGTGGGAACAGGCTGGTTGACAGCATAATTTTTCATCTTTTTTATATTCACCAGTGCTCAAGGAAGAGAAGATGTGCCACTAGAAAAGCTGCAGCTCCAACCATAAAAATCAGTGAACCCAAAATCGGGATGCAGTAACATGTAATTTAATATAGATGGAACAAGCCATGGGATTTAATTTATTTCTGTGTCACTGCTGTTCAGAAACACACACAACCTGATCCAGAACAAATTCAACTCTAACTTGTGCTTTATCACTTCTCCCATCCTGAGCATCACACAAGCAAAATCTATCCCAGATAAAGCTAAATTGAGCATGAAATGGCCTGTTATCCCACACCTACAGGGCCAGAAAACCTGCATCCTTGTTCTGATTCTAATAAAAGCAGCACCTCACTCCCTGACATCAGGCTCCCTTTTCTGGGATGCAGCTCCCCGCCACAGGGACAGCAGAGCAGGAAAAAGCTGCAGGGATAAAAATAAGCACCTTTGCAGCAAAGGAAGGTGAGGAGAACACAGCAGAATCCTGATTCCAGAGACAGACCCAGCAACAGAGAGTGCGGCCACCGCCCTCAGCCTCTGCTGGAAAACAGCTTTTCTTGAGTCCTGCTGCAGCTCTGATCCAGCACAACCCACTGGTGCCTCTGGGAACAGGGAGGGAAGATAAACACGAGTCCTGGCAGAAACCTGCAGGCTCCTGACTGCAGGGATGGAGGTCCTGCAGCTGGGACGAGCTACAGCAGCACATCTTGTGTCTGCGTTAACGGTGTCCCGATCTGACATGAACAGCACCAGCAACTGACCAGGAAGCAATGGGAAAACGGTTTGGAATTTTCCTGGAGCCATTAATGCAGCCGAGTTCACTGTTAATGCCCTTGAATGTAATCCACCTGTGAAATCAGCCCTGCCATTGAAGGACCACGCTGAAAACCCTCTGTGTGTGTGTGCAGCACACACAGACATGTAACGCAGATTTATTTACAGATTTAGTTTAAGCCTCTGCGTGAAGCACCCACCGACATCCACAGAGGGATAACCACGGAGCACGGGGACAGAGGGAAGCCCATTTCCCTGCAGGAACAACCTTTGCCACTTAAACATCCTGGCCTGGCTTTAAGCTGAGATACCCCTCTAATAAAGGAATGACGTTTTCTGCAGAGAGCCAGAATTTCAGCTGCCGACATCCCGAGCAGCATCCTGCAAGCCAACCCACTCTCAGGACTGGATAAACACACTGGGAACAAGGCATTTCAGCAATGGCAGGTCACAGCTGCTTTACTATGCACAATTCAGACTCACTCCAGGATGACATATAGCGCTTAAAGCCAGAGAAAGCAGGCACTGCTTTCTCAGTTAATGCACGCCTTCTTAAACTCATCTGCCAGTGCTGCTGCACCTGGCTTGGAGATCTTAGCAGGCAATTCCAGGGATAAGCAGGCACAGGGGTGAACTAATAAACAGCACGGAACTGCTCCAGGCCCTGAATCCGCAGGCCTACCACAGAGGGTCGAGAAAAATCTGTAAATTCCCGAACCTCTTCCTCATTGATAAAATATAACTCTGTTGCCTTCTGCCATGGATACCATGCTAGATGACCTCATGAGACAAAAGAGATCAAACCATTTCATTTCAAAGCATTCCTTAAAACCTATTGCATAATCTGAGGGCGGGAGGGAGAGGGGGGTGGTTGGCATTGTCTTCAAAAAGAAAAAATGGCTTGAAGAAAAAAATCAGCTACCAGGAAGAGCATTTTCTCAGGCAGTTTTCAAAGGCCACATCCAGGGGTCAGACCTTTTCTGTTTACTTTCATAAATAGACCAGATTTTGCTCTGTTTGTTTCTCAGATAATAGAAAACAAACAGTTTTATTCAGCCCATCTGAAGAATGAATTAATTTTAAAAAAATTCATTGGCTACTCTCAAATGCAATCATGTAATTCACTAAACAGCTATGACTGTGATCCCTGAAATTCTGCCATAACCACACATCTGGAATTACTTCCTAATAGTTACATTTATCTTTAAAGCAAACATTGTTTTTTCAAGAGTTACTATTCTTCCAGGAAACATGCTAGGCTGTAGCTAGATTCATGTTACTCTAACTAAGGATTGTCAAGAGGTTTTTATGGTGCTGTGATTGAAAAAAATATAGTTTGAACAGTAATCCCCAAATGGTCTCATGGGTTATGTAAATACTTTTCCCTGGCTAACACATAGCCCAACCTATTGCAGCTTTCCTGGAATTAAAGATGAATTGTAAATTCATCTCTAACTCCCACTGATTGTGTGACAGGATTGAAAAGGGGACACAGACACTCCCATCTCCAGGTCACCAGAGCACATGGGTTTGGTGACAAGCACGGACACCACCACTGTGACAAAGAGAATGGTGTCCTGATCCCACAGATCAGATCTGTACCTCCAAGAAACCAAAATTGCACACTGCCTCCTTTCTGGTAGCCCTCTGAAACCAAGGCTGGACAAGCACAGAAAGCAATTCCATTATCCTCTTTGCAGGATACTTTTCCTCCCAGTTGGTCCTTCCCCACTACTGATGCCTCAGACCATCTCACCAGTCCAGCTCTTCACTTTAGTGCAATGATTATTACTAAAAAGAAGGAAATTTAGATAAAATGTAACGAAACTTTGCATTTATTCTGAGCAACATTCAGCTCCCTCCAAACATCAGCACAACAGACATTTAATAATTTTTTAAATGTCATTTTAAGCCAATATTTAAACTGGAGAATGGAAGTTCCTCTGAACTCTCAGGGTCCAGACACATCTTGTCACCCCAACAGGGTGAGATTCTCACCCTAAGCTTCCACACAGGGAAAGTGGCCTGGTCAGAGTCAATAGGGGCACCTTGGGAGAGGCTCAGGGCTGGATGCCAAATGAGCATACACATCAAACATCCCCACAGGTCAGACTCTGCAAGTATTTACAAAACACTGTGTAGAAACTCAAGAGTTGTACAGAACCCTCGGATTGAGAAACTCAAGTCCTGAACATAAAGCTTAGAAAGACTGGAAGATGCATGTCCCAATTCCAATTTCTCAGCCTGAAGCCCAAGGAGGTGTTTCCAGGCTCTCTCCCTGCTCAGCCCCTGTGTTGCTGAACTGCAGCACATTTCCAGGGACAGGAGTTCCCC